TCCTCCTCCTCCCTCTCCTTCCCCTCCTCCTCCTCCTCCTCCCCCCGCCGTCGTCTTCTCCTCCCCCCTCCTCCTCCTCCTCCTCCCCCCTCTCCCCCTCCTCCCTTCCTCCTCCTCCTCCTCCTCCACCACCACCACCTCCTCCTCCCTCCTCCTCCCCCTCCCTCCCTCCTCCCCCTCCACCTCCTCCACCACCACCTCCTCCCCCTCCTCTTCCCTCCTCCCCCCCCCCCCCCCTGAATAAAGGGCGTTTCGATCTAGTCCTTAAAATCTAAACGTCGGAGTCATTGTAAATTGTTCGTTATAACGGGTGCGGGGAAAACGAGGGCGGAGGATGGGCGTGGCGGAGGGATGGGCGGGCGGTGTCTTTGTGGATTGCGTAAAGGAGGATGAGGATGAGGAGGACGGGATGGAGGAAGGGTAGGAGGATAGAGGAGAGGGGGTGGAGGAAGGGAAGGAGGAGGAGGAGGAAGGGTAGAGGAGGGGAGGAGGGGGATGGGAGGGGAAGGAGGGGAGAAGGAGGAGAAGGAGAAGGAGGGGTAGGAGGAAGGGAGGAGGAGGAGGGGAAGGAGAGGAGAAGGAAGGGAAGGAGGAGGAGGAGGGGTAGAGGAGGGATGGGAGGGGAAGGAGGAGGAAGGGAGGGGGTGGAGAGAAGGAGGGGAAGGAGGAGGGGAGAAGGAAGGGAAGGAGGAGGAAGGTAGGAGGAGGAAGGGAAGGAGGAGGAGGAGGAGGAGGGGTAGGAGAAAGGGGAGGAGAAGGAAGGGAGGAGGAGGGGAAGGAGGAAGGGTAGAGGAGGGGGATCGGAGGGGGAGGAGAGAAGAAGGAGGAAGGGAGGAGGAGGGGTAGAGGAAGGATGGATAGGGATGGGAGGAGGGGGATGGGAGGGGAAGGAGAGGAGAAGGAGGGGTAGGAAGAGGGGAAGGAGGAAGGGAGGAGGAGGAGGGGAAGGAGAGGAGAAGGAGGGGTAGGAGGAAGGGATGGAGGAGGAAGGGAGGGGGAGGGATGGAGGAAGGGGAGGAGAAGGAAAGGGGGAGGGGGTGAATAGAGATGGAAGAGGAGTGATGAAGGAGGAGACCAGGACGGAAAGAGGAGGAGCAGGAGAGAAGGAGAACGGAAAGTGAGGAAAGGAGAGAGAGGAGGAGGAGAAGAAGGAGATAGAAGTGAAAGAAGAAGGAAGAGGAAGGGAGAGGAGGAGGAGGAGGAGGAGGAGGAGAGAAAAGCAGGAGTTAAAGGTAAAGGAGGAACGAGAACAGGAGGAGGAAGAGGAGGAAGAGAAAGAGGATGAACAGGAGGAGGAGGAGGAGGAAGAGGAGGAGGAGGAGGAGGAAGAGGAGGAGGAGGAGGAGGAGGAAGAGGAGGAGGAGGAGGAAGAGGAGGAGGAGGAGGAGGAGGAGGAGGAGGAGAAAGAGAAAGAGGATGAACAGGAGGAGGAGGAGGAGGAGGAAGAGGAGGAGGAGGAGGAGGAGGGGTATAGAGAAGTGTAGAAAGAGGAGTAGGAGAAGCAAGATGGGAAATAGAATGAGAAAGGGGAGGGAAAGAAGAAGGAGGAGGAGGAAGAGGAGGAGGAGGAGGAGGAAGAAGAGGAGGAGGAGGAGGAAGAGGAAGAGGAGGAGGAGGGGAAAAGAAATGTAGAAGATTAATGAAGTGAAGAGAAGGGAGAGAGGGGAATCAAGAGGAGGAGGAAAAAGGGACGAAGGAGTAAGAGAGAGAGAAAAGAAGGAGAAGAAAGAGGAAGAGGTAGAGGTAGAGAAAGAGATGAAGAAAGAAAAGAAAAATAGAAAGAGCGGATATAACAGAATAAAAAGAAGAAATAAAGAAAGAGAACGTAGAGGTAGAGAAGGAGAAAGAAAACAAGAAGAACGAGATAGAGAAGCAACGGAAAAGGAAAGGGGAAGAGAGAGGAGAGAATAAAGTTAAGTGAAGGAAGAGATCACCATCCTTTACTTAAAAAAAGACTATCTCATAATTCAAGTTTATTACACAAATATATTTTTTACTTATTTTCTTTTCTTTTTACTCATTTACTCATATTTTTATATTTTTTGTTGTTCTTCTATCAATCTTATTTTTCTTCTTCTTCTTCTTTTTCTTCTTCTCCTTTTCTTCCTTTCTTTTTCTTCTTTTCTTCTTCTTCTTCTCTTTTTCTTCCTTTCTTTTCCTTCTTTTCTTCTTCTTCCTCTTCTCTTTTTTTTCTTCTCTCTTTCTTCCTTTCTTTTACTTATTTTCTTTTTCTTCTCCACTTTTTCTCCTCCTCTTTTTCTTTTTCTCTTTTTTTTTCTTTTCTCTTTCTTCTTTTTTCCTTCTTCTTCTTCTTTCTTTTTCTTATTTTCTTCTTCTTCTCCACTTTTTCTCCTCCTCCTTTTCTTTTTCTCTTTTTCTTCTTCTCTCTTTCTTCTCTTTTCCTTCTTCTTCTTCTTTCTTTTTCTTCTTCTTCTCTTTTTCTTCTTTTCTTCTTCTTCTCTCTTTCTTCTCTTTTCCTTCTTCTTCTTCTTTCTTGTTCTTCTTCTTCTCTTTTTCTTCTTTTCTTCTTCTTCTTTCTTTTTCTTCTTCTTCTCCTCTTTTTCTTTTTCTCTTTTCCTTCTTCTCTCTTTCTTCTCTTTTCCTTCTTCTTCTTCTTTCTTTTTCTTCTTCTTCTCTTTTTCTTCTTTTCTTCTTCTTCTCCTCTTTTTCTTCTTTTCTTTTTCTTCTTCTAGACGCATTTAGCCTCAGCCACTGAATAACTGAATATTCATATCCGCGTGCAGTAATTGCTAAAATATAGAGCAACTGCACGACGCTGAAATACCGTGGCGAAGGAAGAATGAAGAAGGAGGGAGGAGGAGGAGGAAGGGAGGAGAAGGAGGAAGGGAGGAGGAGGAGGAGGAAGTGGAGGAAGATGAGGAGGAGGAGGAGGAGGGAGGAGGAGGAGGAGGAAGAGGAGGGAGGAGGAGGGAGGAGGAGGAGGAGGAGGGAGGAGGAGGAGGAGGGAGCAGGAGGAGGGAGGGGGAGGAAGAGGATTAGGGAGGAGGAGGGGAGGAGAAGGAGGAGGAGGAGGAGGAGGAGTAAGTGGAGGAAGAGGAGGAGGAGGAGGAAGAGGAAGTGGAAGAAGAAGAGGAGGAGGAGGAGAAAGAGGAGGGGAACGGAAAGTGTTAGGAGGATGAAAGAGAGAGAGAGAGGAAGGAGTGGAGGAGGAAGAGGGGAAGAGGAGGGAGAAGGAGGAGGAAGGGTTTAGAAGAGGAGGGGAGTGGAAAGTGGGAGGAGGATGTGAGAGAGGAGGAGGAGGAGGAGGAGGAGGAGGAGGAGGAAGAGGAAGAGGAAGAGGAGGAGGAGGAGTAAGAGGGAGAGGAGTAAAGAGGAGGAAGGAAGGAAAAGAGCTGGAAGTGGGAAGAAGATAAGAGAGATAGGAGGAGGAAGAGGAGGAGGAGGAGGAGGAGAAGGAGGAGGAGGAAGAGAAGGAGGAGAAGGAGGAGGAGGAAGAGGAGGAGAAAGAGGGATAAAGCAGGAAAGAGAAAAGAAGAGGAGAGGATAGGAAAGGAGACGAAGGAAAGAAGGAAAACAAGAAAGTAGGAGAAAGAGAGGAGGAAAAGGAACTGGGGAAAAATGTATACAAACACACACTCATTAATAGACAGATATTTATATATAGAGCTAAGTAGATAGATAGACAAATAAATAGAACTAGATAGATAGATATATACACATAAAAATGCCTACATCCATCCATCCATCTATCCATCCATACGTACATACAAACACACATGCGTACATGCACCTGTGTAGCTGTCACTATATCAAGCAAGGTATATAAAAAAAAAAAAAAAAAAAAAAACTGTATTTTCCACAGAAATATACATACGTATATATATATATATATATATATATATATATATATATATATATATATATATATATATATATATATATATATATATTTTTTCTTTCTTTCTTTCTTTCTTTCTTTCTTTCTTTCTTTCTGTCATTCTTTTCTTTTCTTTTTTTTCTTTATTTTTTCTTTTTTTTTTCAATTTTTTTTCTTTTTCTTTTTCTTTTTTTTTTTTTTCTTTTCATTTTTTCTTTTTCTTTTTCTCTTTTTATTTTTTTTTTCTTTCTTTCTTTCTTTCTTCTTTCTTTTCTTCTTCTTCTTCTTCTTATGAAACACTAAACTTATAAGAAAAAAGAAAGTTAAAATTCATGTAAGGAAGACGATATTAAGGCGAAAACAATTACTTAAATGGGTACGTTTTTGTTAACTAATCCCTGTATGTTTGCTGATAATAAATGCATAAATATATTGATAAAACCAATTTCTTTCTATTTATGATATTTTTTTTCGCTGAATTGTAGTTTGAGAAAAATATTTACATATTACTGAATATTGTATTTACTTCCCTGTTTAATTTTATTATTATTATTATTATCATATATATATATATATATATATATATATATATATATATATATATATATATATATATATATATATATATATATATATATATATGTATATATATATATATATATATATATATATATATATATATATATATATATATATATATATATATATATATATATATACATATATATATTTTTTTTTAATCTCATGTTACTATTTTTTTTTTTTCGAAAACTAATATTATAAGTATTACTGGAAATGTAGGATATAAAGAAAATGAGAAAAGGAGAAAAAAAAGAAGGAAGAGAGGAAGGAATAATATGAGGAAATGGGAAACAATGCTGATAAAGAAAGAAAAAAATGGAAAAGCGAAATAATAATAAGAAGAAATGAAAGAAATAGAGAAAGGAGAAGCACAAGAAGAAGAAATGCAAGAAATAGAGGAAAGAGAGAAGCATAAGAACAAGAAATGCAGAGGAAGTAGGAGAAGCATAAGAAGAAGAAGAAAAAGAAAAAAAAAAAGATAATGAATAAAAGGGGGGGAAGAAAAGAAAAGAAAAAAAAAAAACGCGATACAATAAAATCCCCGAATCTTCCCTGAATTTCAAGACTATTTCGAGACCAGAACGCTCATTCGAGATAACTCCGAAGCTTCTACACATGACAAGAATGTAGTTAATGGTACCTAAAATAGATAAATTTCTAACTCCATTCCTAGATAGGTCGTGTCATCCTCCCTCTCTGTCTCCTCTCTCTCTCTCTCTCTCTCTCTCTCTCTCTCTCTCTCTCT